GGGGGGGGGGAGGCGGGGGAAAGGGCACGGTATCATGGTATCATGGTAAATCTAAACGGATTTGGCATTGCTCAGTTCCTGCCATATTAGCAAAGCCATCGTCAGATGCTTTTTTTTTTTTTTTAAGTTGCTTTTTTTTTTTTTTTCCCCCCCGAAAAAAAAAGACCACTCAAGCAGGGAAGAGGCAAACTCAGCCATAGGAAGGTGCTTAGTGATGTCACAAGTTTGGTCCTTTCAATAAAAGCAATAGAGAAGGGTCTTCCTCACTATATATATTAGGAGAAGTTTCTGTTCTTCCTAATAAAAAGAGCAGCAAGGGGGGAAAGCACCTGCTTTTAATAGCCTTTATTTAGCATTCATCTGTTGCAGGCAGAACACAAGTTCTGTAGGGCTGGAGTTCTTCTGAAAACTATTGCTTTTTTATTTATTTCCCTTTTCTTTTTTTTTCTTTTTATTTTCTTTTTCTTAAGGCTAGAACATAGTTTTGGAAGCGATTGCTGAGAAGATCAACCACCCTTGGCCAGGGTGATCTCAGAGAGCTCTAACTCAAGGAAAAAAGGTGAAGAAGCTTCAGTATTACAAGTTTGTAAAGGCTATTTATTTTTCCTGAGTCTGTAAGGGTTGGGTTTGGTTTTTTTTTAATTATTTATTTCTGGGGGAAAGGAAATTCTAAAAATAACTGATGGACGTTTTACCTTCAGCATCAGCATAGACCTGTGAGTGTGTGGAGCTGTTTTCAGGGGATGTCACAACTAATTTTAATGAGTCGAAAGGGCAGTGTAAACCAAAGAAGCGTATTAGCTATACATTTTAATGTATAGCCTGCCAGGTGTTTAGGGAGTTTGTTTACAGCATAAAGGATATGTTTGCAGCCGGATTTCTGTTTAGCTCTTGAGTTTTCGGGTTTATTTGCCTTGGCGATATGAAATTTTGGCGAAGGAGTTGGGCTTTAAAACGGTGGCGTCGGGTGTAGTTGACAGCAAAATAAGCTTCAGGTAGAAAAATGCCTGGCTTTGCACCTCAACTTTCTCCAGAAGGGGTTCCTTCATACGGGGAGGGGATGAGAAGGAGCAACCGGCCGGCGCACCTCCGTGTTCTGTTGCGGCTTGTGAGGTTGTTGGGAACGCATTTGCTGTAAATCGGGTTGTCGGTGGCAGAAAGGAGCGACCCATCGGTACCGGAGGTGCCCGCGGGCAGGTCTTTCCGGGCAGGTTTCGGAGAAGCGGAGCCCCGCGGAGGAGTGAGGGGGTCCCGGGATGCTGAGGGGGCTGAGCCGCGTCCCCAGGGCTGCCCGCATGGGCAGGGGCGCAGCGTGAAGGGAGAGCGCAGCCTCTGCCGTCGAACGGGAGAGATCGGCTTGGAAAGGCTTTTTCTCTTTCGAAGAGTCGCCGGGAGGTGGAGGCAAGGGGCACACCAGAGCCCCCCCCCCGCTTCCTCCC